TTTCACCTTTCAAAAATACAAAACATTTTCGGCTAAAATAAATTTGATTTCTATTACGACAAAAAAAATCCTAAAATTTTTATTTTTCATTATATCAAATGCTAAAAAATAGACATATCTTTTAGGGGAAGGAAGTCTACAATGTATATCTCTAAAAAGGTGTACATCGTAAGAAAATTATGATTTTTTCTAGTGAAATGTACATATGAATGTTTGTGGCGTTTGCTATTTCACTTTAGGGTAATGTTAAGAGTGTACACCATATGCAAGTTATATTATTTGTGAGTTTTTATTTTTTTGAGCAAATGTCATTTGTAGATTTGATTATCACACATGCCATAACTCAATATTTATGAGTCATAACTTAAAAAAAAAAAAATAGTTACAACCAAACATCACATAAGATATAACAAAAAATTCTTGATGTCATTTGTAGATTTGATTATCACACATGCCATAACTCAATATTTATGAGTCATAACTTAAAAAAAAAAATAGTTACAACCAAACATCACATAAGATATAACAAAAAATTCTTGAGTCATAATCAAAATAATATCATAAATAACGTCACATTGAGACATAACTAACAATATAACTGAAGATACGAAAATAGTAATTAAGGGTGCATATGGTACATACTCTAAAAAATTGGCCTTTACTTTGTGATAAAGTTACGAATAGTAAATTTATGACACTTTGTAGTAAAAAAAAATTATGATGTTTTGTGATTTATGTGTTACGAAATTCTGTAAAAAAATTATGAAAGTGTACTTATCATTTTATTTTTTTTGAACACCATATATATTCTTTTAGGCCCCGTTTGTTTCGTTGGATATAAAATGGAGGATATAAATATATGGACCCCACCGGATATAATATCCAATCCCAATCTTTATATCCCCCAATCAAACAGGGCCTTAGGAGCGTACATTATAACATTTCTCAAAATGCTATAATCTTGTTTAACCTAGGCTCCAATTTTTTTATTTATTTAATTTTAATTATTTTTTTTTTTTCATTTGGGAATCAAGGCTTCTCTAAAGGGACCCAACCCAACAAGAAGTTCCAAGGGGATATGATATAATGGGGGGGTGTGGTATTGTATATCCTCCACTTTTGGGGGATATACAATCCCACCGGATATTATATCCCCTTCAAAAAAAAATTGCAAACATGGGATATATGGACCCCACCGGATATAATATCCAATCCCAATCTTTATATCCCCCAATCAAACAGGGCCTTAGGAGCGTACATTATAACATTTCTCAAAATGCTATAATCCTGTTTAACCTAGGCTCCAATTTTTTTATTTATTTAATTTTAATTTTAATTTTTTTTTCATTTGGGAATCAAGGCTTCTCTAAAGGGACCCAACCCAACAAGAAGTTGTTTGATGATCTTGTAGTACTGTTCCATAATACATAAGATAAGCCGCTTGTCATGTTGTCTCCAAAAAATAAATAAAAATACAAAAGAGATAGGATTTATTGTTTTAGCAAATTAAATTCAAATTGGAGCAGAACATGATTTGCCCAGGAGCAAATTATAATGTTTCTCAAAATGCTATAATCTTGTCCAACCTAGGCTTCTCTAAAGGGCCCAACCCCAACAAGAAGTTTGATACGGTCACCATTGTCAATCATCATCATCATCATCATTATCATTAATTAATAATTAATCAATCAATTTTATGCATAATTACACAATTTATCACACCAACTAAAAAATGCATTAAAAAACGGGATTAACTCGATTGATCAGAACTTCTGTACTTCACTAATAAGTTAGTAGTTCGAATCTCTTTACTTGTGTATAGATCTTATTTCCGTGTATTAATTAGGTTATTCTCTTCTACTTTAGGAGTTTCTTTGTAAAGTTTGTATTTCATCTTTATTACTATGATTATAATTCATTGGGTTTTATTGTAATGTCTTATATGAATCAAATCTCTAATAAAAAAATAAAATAAAATAAAAACCCTAAAAAATGCATTGGGCTTTGGTTGGGCCTGGTCCTTAACCCTAATGTCTGGGAAAAACAACTGGTAAACCAAATCCAGTCCAGAAATTGATTGAGCGGGGCCCATAAATGGAAAGCCCATGATCTGTCAAAAAGCCAACAAGCCCAAGCCCATTTGAAAATATCCATCTCCAAGCCCAAAAGTACACCACCCTCGTGACTTCCTTTTTATTTTTTATTTTTGAACGCAGACCTTCGTGACATCATCCTTCAGTAGTTCTCGTTTGACTTTTGACTAAAACACAGTCTTACCTCTTTCCTAGTAGACACGTAAGGAAAAAACGTGGAAAGTGTAGGGCCCTGTTTGGATTTCCCATTATTCTTTTTTTTTTAAAAAAAATTTAAAAGGGCTTTCTTCGAAACCACCCTCTTTGTCTTTAGTTAACTACTTTCCTGTCGGCAGGCTAAAGTCAATTCCCTTCCTGTTCACCCAAACAGCCCCTAAATTAACTCCCACCATCACTCTGTTTTGTTGACGATTAGGGCTGTAAAAATAATAAATCTATTCAAACTAACTTTATATTTAATTCGTTGAAAGTTTAATTTTTGTTACGTAAAGAAACTAATGTTAAACATGTTTTTATTTTTAATTATTTTTTAAAGTTAAATTAAAATAATATATCAAGAATGACAGCGTCTCTCTCTTGGGCTGCCTCTCACACACAATTTCTCCTAAATTGTATTTATTAAATATATTTATATTTATATAATATATAATTTAATTTTCATAAGTGTAATAAAATTAAACAACTAAAAAAATTGCACTTAATATTATTTTTAACATATGTATTTTCATTTTACACATTTTAAATTTTATCACTCATAAAATATTATCCATAATATACACTATCATTTTTCATTTTTTTTTGTCAAATCATTTTTAAAATTATAAAATTAACCTATTCTCAGTCCATTTCTTATTTACCTTGCCCTCAATGTAATACAAGTTGGGACAATTCACTCCGTTATAAGTTACAGCTTGCTATCCAGTTTAAAAAGTTTATATACTATAAAAATTAGTGGTATTTTGAGAAGTTGGTAAAAAAAAAAATTTTGGGTGACTTTTTGACTTTTTTGTGTTTAAAAAGTTGACTTTTTGTGACTTTTTATGTAAAAAAACTAAAAAGTCAAAAAATTAATTTTATTAGGAAGTTTCCAAAACACCCCTTAGTCACTAGCCCGTTAAGGTTTTGAAGAAATATATCTAGGGCTAAATTATTAATATTCACCCCAAAAAAAGGGCTAAATTATTAATAGATTTTAATATTTAGATATTCTCACCAAGCTTTATTGAAAATAAATTTTAGTAAAATTATCACTCAAAATAATTTTTTGTGATGAGTTTTTTATATGTCGTTAATAATTGACAATTAATAATGATTTTTTGTTACAATATATTTATTTTTATTTATTTAAGTACTTACTTCCTATTCACATTAGTTTCAATGGACAGATAATAAAAAATAAAAAAAAATTAATATAATTATATGGTAGTTTGGTCATTTTATTATGATTTGACATCATAAACAAACATTAATAAAAAAAAGTCAAAAGTCACTTTTTACCAACTTCCCAAATCATTTGTCTAAAAAAGCCAAAAGTTTGATTAAAAGCCAAAAAGTCACTTTTTACCAACTTCCCAAATCATTTGTCTAAAAAAGCCAAAAGTTTGATTAAAAGCCAAAAGTCACTAGCCTGTTGACGTTTTGAAGAAATATATCTAGGGCTAAATTATTAATAGATTTTAATATTTAGATATTCTCACCAAGCTTTATTGAAAATAAATTTTAGTAAAATTATCACTAAAAATAATTTTTTGTGATGATTTTTTTACATGTCGTTAATAATTGACAATTAATAATTATTTTTTGTTACGATTTTTATAAATTGTCGCTAAAATTTGTAATTAGTAACATTTTTCTGTGATAAAATTTTCAAATTATCGTTGAAAGTTGAAAATTAGTTACTCTTTTTGTGACGATTTTTTTAAACTGTCACTAAAACTTATAATTAGTGATATTTTTTATGATACAATTTTCGAACTGTCGCTAAAAATTAATTACTAGTGACGTTTTTTAATAGTATTTAATGAAAAATGTCATTAATTCTCACAGTATTTATTAGATAATAAGTCCATTTATTAAGACCAGTACGTAAATGTCTCAATAATTAGTCCTATACTAATTAAATTAATTTTTCTTAAGATTTTAATCACATAATGACTAAGGGGTTGTTTTGGGTGTCCTAAATGAATGTACTTTTTGTCTTTTTGGACTAAAAAATTGAGGAAAAAAATATAGATATTTGGGTTAACTTTTTGACTTTTTATGAAAAAAATGTGTATTAAAAAATTATATAAATTTGTGTGTAAGGAAAAATTAGGATTGAGAGTTGTGCAGCTGCAATTTTTAATTTTTGGTGAATAGTGATAACTTTTTAAACTTTTGAGTAACTTTTTGACTTTTTTTTAACTTGCCAAACTTAACCTAAGTCATTTTTTAATATCATAATATATTTTAAAATAAAATATATTTATTTTTATTTATTTAAGTACTTACTTCCTATTCACATTAGTTTCAATGTACCGATAATAAAAAATAAAAAAAATTAATATAATTATATAAAACATATAAGATTAAGGTCTTATTTGTCATCTTCTAAAAATTCAAAAAATAAAAAATTATTATCTTATTTAAATCATATCACCTCTCTATCATATCACTTTAAATTTAACCAATACTCAATTCATATTTCATAAAAAATTAAAAATACACTTATTACTTAAAATATCTCAAACAATCCCTCAATATGTTTTCATCCAATCTTACTAGAGGCAAATATAATTTATTTTAAATTTGAAGTATTCAAGTCCACGTGACCCTTATTGAAAACTTGATCCAGCCCAGGTGCACCGCTTAATAAATAAATTATTCTAACCCAAACTTCTATAAATAGAAGTAAATAAAAAACTATACCCCAAAAACTTCAATTAGTCCACTCATTTTTTCCAAGCTCTCTCTCAGTAGTCTTCTTCAATGAAGCAGCCATTGCAGCAGCAGCAGCAGCAATACCAGTGAGAGAGAGCTCCCCAGATGTCCCTCCTCTTCCTTCTCTTTCTCTCTCTACAACTCCACCTCTCTCCTCTCTCCTCCTCCTCCTCCACCACCGCATCCGCCGCCCGCCACCTCCACGCCACCGCCTCATCATGTCCTCTCGATTTCGACGTCCTTCGCCGACTCATTCAATTCTCCAATCGTCCAAAATTCGACTCCGTTTCCATCTCTTGTCACTACATCAAGGCGGGTCTCCGACTTGTTCAGTCCGAGTATCTCCGAACCACCAACAATTTTCTTCCTCCGATTGACTCCGCCGAGTCTTGTTGGGTTTCGTACCAAACCCTAATCAACGATTTCTTCCCCAATTTCAATGATATTCGCAAAATCTGTGGTTTCCAGACCTCCTGGATCGCCGAGGGTTGTATGAACATCACTACTCGTGATGACTTCGAAGGCAATGTCTCGAAATTGGCGTTAAAGGATGCCGTGTCGGCGTGCAATCAATCTCTTGGTAACGGTTCGCCGTGCGCTTCTTGCACCACCAGTCTCTCGAGCCTCCAGCCTTCGAATTTGAAAGGCCGATCAATCGGAAACCTCTCCGATTGCACGGCGTACCCTTCGATTTACGCCGCCGCGTTTATCAATCGTTTCGGTCCAACCGACGAAGGTACTTCCCAGTGTCTGTTTGGTTTTGATTTTTCTGATTTGAGCAATTCGAATGGTAGAGTTAGAAAAATTGTGATTTGTGTAGTTGTGATGGGTTGTGGGTTTGTTTTGTTTCTGGGTTGTGGTGGGTTTTGGATTTTACGGCGAAAACGCGAGAAAATTAGGGAGAGAAGTAAGGTTGATCAAGAGAGAGAAACTAATTTAGCTTTTGGAATGAATTCAATCAATGAAAGTACTACTTTAGTTAGGTACACATTTGATGAAATTAGGGAAGCAACAAAGAATTTCTCCAGGTTGAACATAATTGGGAGAGGTGGGTATGGGAATGTTTACAAAGGGGTATTGCCGGATGGCTCTGAAGTTGCGTTAAAGCGGTTCAAGAATTGCTCGGTGGGAGGCGATGCAATTTTCGCCCACGAGGTTGAGGTCATTGCAAGCGTTCGACATGTGAATCTCGTGGCTTTGAGAGGGTATTGTACTGCTACTCCTCCTCTAGAAGGCCACCAGAGGATAATTGTGTGTGATTTGATGAGGAATGGTAGTCTTCATGACCACCTATTCGGGTTTGAGGAGAGGAAGCTGAGTTGGCCAACTCGCCAGAAGATTGCGATTGGAACAGCTCGTGGGTTGGCCTATTTGCATTATGGTGCCCAACCCAGTATAATTCATAGGGATATTAAAGCTAGTAACATACTTTTAGATGACAAGTTTGAAGCCAAGTTGGCAGATTTTGGCCTTGCGAGGTTTACCCCGGAGGGAATGACACATTTGAGCACTAAAGTGGCCGGTACAATGGGTTATGTTGCGCCTGAGTATGCATTGTATGGGCAGTTGACAGAGAGGAGCGATGTTTACAGCTTTGGTGTTGTGTTTCTTGAGCTTCTGAGTGGAAAGAAGGCGATTATGGCGGTTAATGAAGGGCAGCCCTCGCTTGTGACCGAGTGGGCGTGGTCCTTGGTAAAGAAAGGCAGAGCTTTAGATGTGATTGAAGATGGTATGCCAGATTTGGGACCTCCAGAAGTTATGGAGAAGTATGTATTAGTAGCAGTGCTTTGTTCTCACCCACAGTTATATGCTAGGCCAACAATGGACCAGGTTGTAAAGATCTTGGACATGGACACGGACTTGCCGGTTCCCTCTATCCCTGAGCGTCCAATTCCTCTAAATGCTGATATTGATGATATCGAGAGGTCTGTGAGCAGTAGTGGTTCGGGTAATCTATCCACTTCTACTGGATATCGGACATACACGCTTGAGAATGACTGCGCTTCTAACCCTACAGAAGGGGAAAGTTCAGGCGGTGTATGAAAATGAGACTAGATTCTCTCGAGTTGACTGGAGGGTTCGATCTAATTTTTTTTTGTCACGATTCACTTGGTTGGATCAACAAGATTTTTGAAGTCTTGTAATTTTTTTTTTTCCTCCACAAGTTTTAATTATGGTCTTGATTCATTTGTGGATTAATTAGAATCGCTTCCCCTGTAAAGAAAAATGTAGCAGTAGGTTGTATAGCCCTAGTTGATTTTATTCATTTTTAATGAAAAATAGTTCATAATTTTGAGTTTGTTGTCTACTTGTCATCTTCTTTTTTGTGTTTTGGATTTGGGAGCTTGCTTTGTACCACAATTTTCAATACATCAGATCAACACCACAATGGAGAAATTACAGGTCATTTTTCTTTTTCAGATTTACTACCTTGGTTCTTTTGGCGAATAACACTCATCAAAAATGTTTCTAAAAAATAAACTTTTTTTTTTTTTTTTTTTTTTTTTTGTGTGGGTATTTTTTGATGTTTGATGCAAGGGAACACGAAACATAAGCATTGGTTCAAGTGATGAATGATGGAGGGTAATTCTGCAAACTTTGTGGCTTATTCTTTTTTGCTGTTTTCTCTCAGTTTGTGGAAGTGATGCAATTAATCTTGTTTAGAAACTTGTAATATGAAAATTATGGAATTTTGCGGCTAAGAATATTTTGTTTTCACACTAGCTGAAGAGAGCACATCCTAAATAATTCAACTTAGAGAAACTTGATCCTTTTTCAAAACTATGTGTTGGATTGGGACTCCACCACAGACGCACAATCCTTTGACCTGTCTCATTTTTCTTGCCCACCCACCCAAACATTTTTCTTCCAAATGTTTGAAAGGTTTTATGAGGAATAGTTAACATGCTTAAAATAATTGTACATTCTTTAAGGATTTCAAATAGTCATTTGAGAGTATTGGCAGATTGGATTGGATAGGTTACTATATGCATGCAAGTTAGATTGTTTGTAGTTTAAATCTTCAATCTGTCCAAATAACTGACCCGACCCGACTTACCAATACTTATAAATAACTTAAAGGAGAAATTACATTTAAATGAGAACAATTCAAAGTAATTGTATTTTCATAGAGATTAGTGAAATTTGTCTCATGTCACACTTTTCATTTGAATTAGACATATGATTACTTGCACCTTCATGAAAGTACAATTATTTTGAATTATTCTCATTTAAATTCATTTTTTCTTAAATTAAATAACTCAACTCTAAGCAAATTTTCCAATTTTCTTACTTTTATGTATTCCTCTAAGCTTGTCATTGTCGCTCCTTAAACCTCTCATTGCTTAGGCCATTCATTGTCATTTCTTGAACAAGAAGTATATCATTAAACATTTTCTTTTTATTTTGCACCTTGGAAATTTTAAGAAAATTGTAATATGAAATGTGAATTTTGGGACAAATAAGATTTGTTTCCAAAATGGCTGAAGAGAGAGTCTAACTTAGAGAAATTTGATCATTTCTCATAGCATTTATAATAGTTTGTCATTAGAGTTACTATTGTCATAATTTAATAGTTGGAGGCAATAAATTTGCTCCAATGATTAGTTATGGCAATTGTCAAATTTGGCAAATGCCAAAACACAGCTTCCATAATTATCAACTCATCAAGCATCCCTCCCTTCCCTTTCTCCCTCGCAGTAAAACATTTCTCTCTCCCTTCTTCCTTTCTGTCATTTTTACAGAACTAAACACATAAATTGGTGTATTCAGATCGTCCGACTGGTCGTCCGAATACACAAACTTATGTGTTTGATTCTGTCAAAATAACAGTTGACCATTGAAATACTATTACTATAATTTTTTTTTATTTTTTATTATTCATTATCAATTTATAGTAATGACAATATTATTATAATATTTATCATTGAAAATACTCTCAGATCATAACTGTATGTTGGATTGGGAGACTCTTCTCGATGGACAGTATCCTTTGACTTGTCTCTCTATTTGGCGAACGGCAGGTTCGGAGAAGTTAAAGTGGGTTGTACATATATATTAGGGGTATTTATGAGAAAATTATGTTTTTAAGTACTTGTATTTTAATTAGTGTATAACACATTTTTATATTTTAATAAATTTCATTATTTAGATATTTAATCTATCAAATCTTAGTTTCATATTTAAGATATTTTATAAATAATTTTATACTTACAAAGATTTTTTAAATGTTTAACAATTTAGTAATATAAACATTCATATTTTATAGTATAAAGGTTCACAGGGCATTTACATTATTAATGTAAATATTATTGTTAGGGATATTTTGATAACTATGTCACCTATATGATTTATTGAAACGTAAAAAAAATAATTTAGACTAAGTGAAATATAAGTACATAGGTGATTTATGAATAAATACTCTTTTAAAATAACTAGATCTTTTTTAATGGATTAATTGGTAATTTTTTTTTTTTGGTTAACATGTGCCCTAAAAGTATATGTTAAAAAGACATTGAATGAATGTTTTTATATCAACTTGTGTATAGAAAATAACAAAACTTTAAAATTTGTCTTCACTAATTTTTTTTTTATAAATATTTGTAATGACTTCTTTGCACCCTTCTATTTTATTTTTGTATGCCTCCACTTTCCTTCAAATTTGATATTTTTTATTATTTTTTTAAAAAACATTAAAATCTAGATTGGTGAAATTTTTTTAAAAAATCAAATACTAATTATTTTCATATTTTTAGAACATAAAATAACATTTAAAAATTTAAATATATATTTAATTTTATCAAATTAATTTATTATGTTTTAAAAATAAATTCAAAATACAAATTCTAAAAACTTAAGACTTTTTTGTGTTCTAAAAAACAGGGTACTTATGTGCATATGAAAAAAAATAAAATTAAATTAAAAATCATTATTAACTTTCCTTCTACCTTTATATTTCTCATGCAAGTGTAGGAAGTTGAAATCATTTATTATTTTATTAAAATGTAATCCCAAAAGTATAAGTTACGGGACCATATGTTATTTAATTTAAGATTTAATCTTTTTGGTGATAAGGAGATGCCATATGTTATTTAATTTAAGATTTAATCTTTTTGGTGATAAGGAGATGCACAGAAAGTTGTTGAAAAAAGTTGTTACACGTTTAAATACGTAACATTTGGATAAATAGTTGGATAGATAAGTAACATTTAGATAAACAATTAGACAGATAGGTGACAAGCGACATTCGACAAATAAGTGATATCTGGGTAGAAATGTTACATTTGAAAAAATAGACTGATAAATAAGCTTTTGAACATACAAGTGTCATTTTGACCAAAGAATATTTTTAAGCATGAGCCTATTAGCCCAATAGTTTCAAAAGTAGACTTCTGGCCCAAGTGTCATTTTTAAATAACTTGAGTATTTAAAGTTAATTTTGCCTTCTCTATTTGTCTAGTTCCCCTTATAATACACATCTGTGAAAGAAGGTATCATATGCCCAGTTTATACTTTTGTGATTTTTAGTTATGATCAATTATGATGTTTATTATAACTTAGTTATAATTTGATATGGTATTAGTTATGACTTAATTATGATATATTATTTTGGTTATGATCAAAGATATTTTTGATTAAATAGTGTTTGGTTATGATTCATAATGATGTTGGTTAAGATTTGATTTTAACTCATTATGGAAAATTGGTATTGGTTGGGATGTATTTTGATAATGATTGAAGAGTTCTTTATTTAAGCCTCAAATAGTATTTGATAATGACTCATTGTTCTTTTAATTATGACTAAAATTGATATAGTTATGATATTTATAATATCAACACCGCAAATTGTCGTATGATACATATTCTAAAAACAAGTATGTATTGTAGAAAAACCCTCTCCTTTACCCACCTAAACATTTTTCTGTTAACTATTTTTTTATATATATAGTGGAAGACGATAACACAAAAAAATATCAATTTTTTTTCATAAGATTTGTGCTCACAACTTCATGCTATAAAATGGTACTGTACAAAAAGTCAAAGACCTAGTTATGTTGATTATTCTTTATTCGCTTTATAGAATAACTATTCTTTAGAGTAACTCTAAATGGTCAATTGATAAAAAAGATAGCTAAAGTTATAATTTAGCAATGAACAATACAAAAAAATTATAGAATAGCAATGTTACTCTAACATTGAAAATGCTATTTTTTAGCTTAATCAGGCAACCAGCGGACTTCAAAATTCTGCAATGCAATTCCACCAAGTGGTCGACCACCAACCTCCCAAAATTATTGTACTGATAGCTTTAATTATAAGTAAAACTAGTGTCAAATTTAATAAAAGATATAACAAATATATAATTTAACAGTTCTGATAGCTTATAGTTAGAGTTGCACTTATAATGGTCAATTGTTATTTTATTTTTTTAATACTTTTAAATCAACCAAAAATGTGTAAATAAATAAAAGAATAGAATAATCATTTCATTCTAATTTTTTTTTTCAATAAACCCAAAAATAATATTAAAAGTTCTTAGAGCATCTCCAACCGTTCATTTCTTTTTTCACCAAATCTAAGTAAAAAATATGTTGTTTTTTCAATTTGATATGGCTTCCTCTAACGGTGAGCATCAAACTTGATTGGTTGACCGGTTGGTCTCCTCCAACGGTAAAGCACAGTAAAATAGTGAAATCTGGAGCCTGTTCTCACTTTGATGAATTTTTTGTTCCATTCTCATTTTGATACCAATTTGCTAAAACCATTGGAGCTCCAAAAAGTAACTTTTTCACCAAATTTCAAATCTGATGCAAGGTTTGATGAACCGTCCAACTCCAATGGTTCACCAAATCCAACATCAAATTCAAATTTGATGAAAAAAAACAGCTTTTTATGCTCCAACGGTTGCACCAAAACAGTATCAAATTGAAAAAACATCAAATGTTTCACCAAACTGAAGACGGCTCACTCTTTTCATCAATTCACTTTAAAGCAAAAATTTGTGAAAATTTTACACATGGTGGTCGACCACTTGGTTGACCCCCTGGTCGACCACCCGATTGACCAACCGGTCGGCCAGCTCATGCAAAAATTGCCTTGCGAACTGATTCAAACAGTTCAAATAGATAGGTTCAAACAGTTCAAAAAGGTAAAAAAATAAAAATAAAAATAAAAAAAATTAGTCTTACCGGTCGACTAACTGGTTGATTCATGGAATTTTGATACACCGTTGGAACAACTGTTATCAAATTGAGAAAATGAGCCATTTTTTACTCAAATTTAATGAAAAAAAATAATGAATTGTTAGAG